AGCGCGACCTGCCTGCTTCACTTAAGCCACTGCTTATTAAGGTCCGTCCAAAATTACCGTGGCCCACCCAAAAATGAAAACCTGGCGCTGCGCCAGTTATAAACCTCTGCAAATGGTTGTTCTTCACTTTATCAAACTCAGACTTTGTACAGCTAATGTCAAGATGTAAAATTATGAATTCAGTCGAGCTCTTCCGTCCCTCCCTCTCCTGCTCTCCTGGAAACCCGACATCGGCTGTCAGAAGTGGGAGAGGAAGAAGGAGATGAGGCAAACAGAGTGAGTGCGACCTAAAGAAACCAGACTGGTGTGGAGGTGAGCAAACAGCTGGAAAAGTGTGGGTGTTGAATCCCCCCATGAGACCTGAGCTGGTAAAACAAAAATCCTCATCAGCAGGCTTTTTTGAAAGTGGGGGGGACACAGCTGCCCATCACAAATTTTGCCGGGGACATGTCACCGGCGTCCCCGGTTAAAATGACGCCTATGACTGTTACATTGCTAAAATATTACAAGTAAAAGTACTGGTGTTAGAGAAATACTCAAGTAAAAGTACAAATTATTCATAAAAACCTCAGAGTATTATTTCTTTTTAACGGCTGATGTCACCATCACTTCTCCAGACTGGGGCTGCCTGGAAATTGTGTGTTTTCCTTTACCAAAAGTTAAAATACCAACAATCTATTAATCATTAATAATTGATAAGATACAAAACAAGTGTTTTTCCCTAATTTTTTTTGTCATCTTAAGTTTTTATTTCCTTATTCAGCAAATGTCTCCGGCAGACAAAGAACTAAATGACCAGAGGAGCCACGACTATTGATTAAATATCCATGAATCCATTTTAACTGGTTAAATTCCTCAACTCTCCCGCACTGCTTCTTGGTCACTGTGAGTTTTAAACCTAACCGCAGTGTGCTGCACACTTAACGCAACATGATGACATCATCGACTTGTACATTACAGATGTGCTGAAAGGCGAGCGTCTTAACATTCAGCTAAAAAAAGACCGCTCTAGCTATTATAGTTTTTATTTTATGGCAGTTTACAGTTTAAACGGGATCTTACTAGCAGGGCACCTCCAGCGGCCCGCTGCCGCTCCGTATTTCATGGGGTAAATAATAGCTCATTTCCCGATTCCAAAAAGGAAAGCGAATGGCGCGAGAAAGCAGGACAACCTGCCGTGGTGATCAATACTAATATTAATGTATTTCAGCAAAATTCTCGAAGACTCATTTTCATTTGATAGCGTTTGGTTATCAGCCTTCCGGTTTTCCCACTCTTAGCTTTTCATAAAAGCTCATTTGACAAAGAAAAAGTTAGCGGTTGGAAGTAGTTCTAAATACATGCAATGTTAGAAGCTAGCAAGACATTTAAAAGGATCATCATAGCACCATGCAAAACGTACAGATTAGAGAGGTTAGTTAATCAATAAGTTGGGGGACAGGCAGGAAAAATACCAACTAAATAATAAAGACATTCATACCTGCATCTTTTCCTCGTTTCTCCTCCTCTATTTTTCTTTTTTTCTAAATTGGGCACCAGATGGCTTCGACCGTTTCTTCTACATTATGTTTGTGAGCGGTGATATGTCAAACGGTACCTGTATCCCTCCATCATCATTCTCCGAGAACCCTCCACCCCCACCTGATGAAGGGCGCTATAGAGCGCACTATCCCACCCTGCATCCACAGAGGCGCGGCGGACACAAGGGGGTGCAATAAAATCACAATATAAACGCAAACAATGACTGTTGTGCTTTTGTTACAGAAATATTATTGTCATCATCACTCATCACTATTATTATTATGAAGAACAAGCAATTTCTATGTTTTGTTTATGTATTGGTTGTTGCTTAAAAAAAAGGAAATTAAATGCCCCCCCCCCCCCCCCCCCCCCAGACTGCCACCCTGTTCGGCCACACATGTTGCACATATCAAGCTCCGCCTCTGAGCACAGGTGATCAAAAAGAGAACAGATAGATGAGTGGAAAAAATATCTTATTTTGAAATATCGGAGGTGAAATAACATTTCGGGAGCGACTAAGAATAAGATGGCGCTCCTGTTTACAAACAAAAACGCACCTTTTAGAGGCTGGCCGGATGATATTCTCTCTCTCTCTCTCTCTCTCTCTCTCTCTCTCTCTCTCTCTCTCTCTCTCTCTCTCTCTCTCTCTCTCTCTCTCATTGTCGTGTTTTAAATCCAGCTAACATTGTGCTAGTGTGTGCTTAGTCAGACTTGTAAATATTTTTTTTCCACATTAGATGATTTCAGCCCGCTAGGAGCTTCCTCCTCCTTGTTTGGGGAGAATGAAGCACCAACTGTTGAACAACTGGGTGTGGATCACAGTGAAGTTAAGTAGGTTTAAGCGAGGTCTAACAGCTCTAGGGAAAACTCAAACACTGTGGGCATGTTTACCAGACAAAACAAAATGGGACTGCGTTTGGGATAGAAAAAGGATGTGGGCCATCTTGTTCCTCATCAGCAAATCTTGAGGGAAGTTTCCTCTTTCTCCAAGATTTCCTGTTTTCTTCCATTATTTACAAAACCAATGTAACAAATTAAATAATAAAAAGCCGCCATGAAAAACGCAACTGAAAAAAGATGAACTACGGGCGTGACTAAATCTATTCTACAATTACTAAACAAAAACATAAAGTGGGATATTTACCAAAAATAATTATTATTTACACCATTAGAACAGACAGAAGTTGAAAATACACACCCAAAACAATTCCACATCTCCTCTATGGTTTTAATGGTAGAAGGTTTATTTCCTGGTTCCCAGGCAGGGACTTGTGTAACCTTACCATAATGTGTCGTACACCACTGGAAAGTGTCTCAGCTTTCAGAATCAGTTAGAATTACATTGATTGTGCAAACGGTCAAAGAGTTACGACAGTTCAAAATATGGAAGCCATTTTGTGTCATGCCGACAACCGCAGTAGAAGGGCTTTTGAAGCTTTCGCCCGGCAAAACAGCTCATATTTGGAATGTAAATGTCATTGACGATCAGGTTAATTTAATTGTGCCCACCAACATTTTGATCACGATCAAAATCTGATTCATTGTGCAGCCCTAGTACCAGGTCCTTTCATATGGGCTGTTCGGTCCCTGTATGACCGGGGTCAGAGCTTTGTCCTCATTGCCGGCAGTAAGTCGAGCTTGTTCCCGGTGAGAGTTGGACTATTCCAAGGCTGCCCTTTTTCACCAATTCTGTTAATCACTTTATGCACAGGATTTCTGGGAGCAGCCAAGGTGTTTCTGTTTTGGTGGCCTGAGGATCGGGTCTCTGCTTTTTGCAGACAATGTGATCCTGTTGGCTTCATCAGAACGTGATATCTGGCTTTCCCTGGAGCGGTTTGCAGCCGAATGTGAAGCGGTCTTAAGTCGGAAAAGGGTCAAATGTTTTTTGTGATGATGTCATGTGCAGTACTTTTTTTGGCTCTCATGCAATTTTTATATGCTCTGTGGAAATCAAATGGTATTGTATGGTAATCTGCTGGGTTTTCTTACAAAGGAAACTTTTTACTAACTGGAATGTCGAAATAAGTAGGTTCAGTTGGAATGTTTATTTTGTGAAGTGTCTTGAGGTGACTTGTATTACTATAAAAGTAAACAGAGCTGAACTACCTAAGGTGTTTTATTCCAGTCATTGCTTTTGATATATGAACACATGACAGTTGCGAGTACAGTGGTGTGTCAGTCATGCCTTCACATGACAGTGTTGACTGACAACTCAGTCTACTTACATGAACAGCTCACAAGCCTTAAGCACATTAAAGAGTTCAGAGACAGACAGTTTAATAAGGCTGTCACTAACCCACATCGCTCCAAAGGGCTTTCTACGGTGCCATAAATAGTACACCGGTAATGATAGGAAGGCATATTAAAGATAAAACAAGAGTTAAATATTTATGACACGATTGGCATATATTTCTGGTATAGTATTACAAAAACAAAAAGTACAAAAATGATCAACTATATTTAATGACTGTCATTTATATGTGTAAACATGTACTCTATGAATGAGGTCATGATTCCAACACTAAGAACATTGAGTTTTGCATTGATTCAACCAGCTCTGGCTGCCTAGCAACCCAGGGGTTACATTTGAAATTTGGCTAAACAGAACTGCATTTTTGTCATGTTCTCAACTGGAAATAATTATTCATTATTATTATTATTCAAGGTTTTGCTTCATCATATGTGAACTAGTAATGCTCTTTTTACACGTTTCATCAAAACTTCCATGTACTACTTTCATGTTGCTGCATTCAGGCTTCTGGCCAGATCATCCAACCTGTTATATGTGACTATTTTGCTTTTCCGCTACACTGGGTCCTAGCTGAAAGTGATAGTCTTATGATGTTCTGTGAATTCAGACAATACATCTACTATTAGGGACAGCAGGAGCTCAGGAGGTAGAACGGGTTGTCCAGTAATTGGAAGGCTGCAGGTTCGATCCTGGCTCCCAGCAGAGAATGCTGCTGTTGTGTCCTTGGGCAAGAATCTTAACCAACCTTACCTGCTGATGGTGGTCGAAGGGCCTGGTGGCGCCAGCATTCGGCAGTTTCGCTTTGATCAATGCGCCCCAGGGCAGCTATGTTAAACAGATTTTCAAATTACAGAGGTTAAAGAAAACTTCAATCTTTTGGATCCACAACTTTAGTCTTATTCTGGAGTATGTCTCTTATCCGATCTAGTGGCCGCCAAGCACAGCACACAAATATTATCTGGATCTGTTTTTCTAAGATGGCGATTCCACGTTTGTAAATGTGCTTATGTAGCGACAAACAGCTAAAACACGTTGTTTTACGAGCATTATTCTCATGTCATGTTTTGTTCTCATATAAGTTTTAGAGACTTTCTTGTCCATGAAAAGTTCATGAACTCTGCATCAGCCGAGGTATTCCTTACATTTGAAGCAAGCAAGCGGTAGTCTAACGCTATTGGTTAGTTTTGGTTGGTGCTCTGTTTCCTATTGCACGGAGCTCTGCGGGGCAGGGGGCGTGCTTAGCAAATAAATTATTTATCGCTTGCTTACATTATATCACAGTACATGATGAGACAGTCACTTTTAAGGTTTTCTGAAAGATCATACATCATTGCTGAAAGGGGAAATCTCCGGAAAGATACTTTAAATGAAATACAAACAAAAAATATCATAGCTTTGTTTATCGAATACAACATGTAACATGGTTGTCCTTAAAATACGATCGATAAGCTGGTTTAAGTATGCAGTGTGTCCATAAATGCTTTGCATTGTTTATCTATGGCAGAAAGTGGGTGGGTAGAAGGCGGGATGTGATTGTGTACAGCTGTGTGCAAGCAGAGTTTTAAAGATTGAATGTTGGTTTGCGAGAATTTTTTTTTTGCTGAGCTTAAGCATCGGATTAGATTAGTGCCAATAGGATCAAGAAAAACACTTTGAAGATCAAACAAATATTACGACATTGAGAGAAACAAAAACTGTTTCAAAAGAAAAACTTATGATCTGAATCAACTTCTTAAAATGAGTAACAAAGTATGTTTCCTTTTTCTGTTTGCCTCTATGTGTTTTTGTTATCAGTTTCCTTAGTTTCATTCTCGCTTCTCACAGCTTTGCTCTCACTACCAGATTTGCACTTACACTGTCTGGCTTTCTCCTTTGCAATCCCTGAGTTTTTAGTTGCAATTCTGACACAACCCTTTCGGGTGGGTGGGACTTCTGAGAAGTCCTCTCCCATAGGACAGTGGTTTCTCTTGAGTGACAGTTCAGTGACCCGGAAGTGATGTAGCCTCCAAGACATTTTTTTCCACCTGGTCAACAACATGAATGTTGAGCCCCAAGCACGTTATTTCTGCTGTCTGTGGTGTCTACTGAGGATCTAAAGTGAGTATTGATAATATATTTTATCTTTTCTTAGTTAATCTGTAAATTAAGCCACTTTTTAAGTTGGTTTTAACCAGACGTTATCTCACTAGCTAGCTGCTAAGCAAGCCATTGTGCATGCCTCAGGACAATGGTCTATTGTTCCAGAGAGACGTATTAAAAACTCATCTTAACATATTCATTACTGGTTTCATGGAATAAATTATTGCAGTTTATGTTAATAAGTTTGCTAATTTTTCAGGAACCTGTGGAACATCAGAGACTTTGCAGCTACTGGAGCTAACCTGTGTACGGCTAACTTGCTACAGAGGAAGCAGCAGAAAGCTGAGCTAACAGGCTGTTTTGCAGGTAAATACTCTTTTAGTGGAACTGCAGGATTTTTATGGTATAACTCAGACAGAATCTACATGAGCTATTGTGGGAAGACATTTAAACTACATTTGCATACAGATAAATTTATTTTTTATTCCATGTTACTTGGACGGGCTAAACAAGTTCGTAGTTCTGCCTGCTCCTTTTTCAGTGAAACGAATGGATTATATGATATAACTCTGACTGAATAATTATCTAAGTGAGTATGTTTGATAATAAATTTCTCTCCAGTATACAGATCTGACAAAACGCATGACCATAGGTGAGGTTTGGGACATAGATCGACCAGTAAATTGAGAGCCTTGCTTTCTGACTCAGCTCCCTCTTCACCACGACAGATCTAACACTTTGTTTGATTAGCTTTATTAAAAATAGAGAAAGAGTTCTTTGATTTATTAAAAGAAAGAGTCCTTTGTCTTCATTCTTCTCTTGAGCTGGAAAGGAAGAAACAGTTTAGAAGCAGAGCATGAGACCTTGAGCAGATTAGTTCTGTGTCAGAAACTTTTGGTTTTGCTTAAGCAGAGAAAAACAGAGTAGGGCCTTTTAGGTCAGAAATGAACAATTCATCACGCTACACAGGTGTTCCCGGCAAACCCAAACATATACCATGCACGCCTGGAAAGCAACAACAACTTGCTCAAGCTTCATTGATTCACTCACGCGGCAGTTGCCATGTCCTTAGGTGATTTCTGCAGGTTTTGTGAGAACAATATGAGTATTAGAGCCCTGCACGGGCCTAAAATCTGAGCCCGTGTCCGGCCCGGCCCGAGGGAGTGGAGCCCCAGCCCGACCCGGCCCGAAAAGGTTTTCAGGATTCTCTGGCCCGGCCCGAGCCCAAGCCTGACTTTTTTTTTTAACCAACTAAATGAAAACAAAGTACGTCAATCCTGACCAATGTGTTAAAAGACGTGCAGGATCCGAGCGTCGCAGAAGCGCATGCGGGAAGCTTCCTCCCACTGAAGCGAGTGTTTTCCAAACCCTGTCGCTCAGAGAGACTTGTCACTTAAACTTTGGCTGAATAGCACTTGTTCCTGTCTCCAATGTGCGACACATCCAGGAGCCGTCTGAGGAGAAGCCCAGAATCTCACGTCCTCTTCAGCTCATAAGCGCCTATATGATTACGCACAAGCGTGACCCAACCCGGTCTCACAGTAAGACTTGGTTGGAACTGTTCAGGTTTACGCAGACAATCTTCACATACAATTAGCTTACAGATATAAAATTAATTCAGTAAAATATAAAGCATTTTATTTAAATATCCATTCATTATTTTACAAGCACAGAGAGCCGCATCAGATGGATGGAAGAGCCGCGGGTTGCCGATCCCTGCTCTAGTTCAAGATATCATTAAAATTCCAAAAGTGCTGAAAAGATAAAAAATGGGGCTTTCCGTGCATATACAATACATTACGGTAGCCACCGGGATTCCCTGTCTTGAGCGCAACGAATCACAACACAGATTCAGAGACGTGCTGAGTTTGTCATCCAAAATGCTCTGTTTTATAACTTTTGAATGGCTGATCAGATTCAAATAATTCCAACGGTTCCTAACAGTACACAAAAGCAGCTTTCCAACTATCTATAGCATGAAGCAATCAGAGTTAGAGAAAATATCGCTACGAGGGGAAATCCTGCTGTTCAGCCTGATTGAAACGGAGCGCAGCGCTGCGGTGAAAGCGGATAACCTATAAAATGACATGTTGAGGACGCAAACTCAATACATCTCTTTTATTGTGAGGTGATAATTTCTCCGAGTTTTGCGGTTGCGGGCGGGAGTAGACATGTACGCTGCAGGTGCGAGCGGGAGTGTAACACACACGTTGCGGTTGCAGGCGGTAATGGTCAGAAATTCAGCGGGAACGGGCAGGAGCGGGATGAAGAAAACAGTCCCGCGCAGGGCTCTACTGCTGCGTTTAAGTGTTTTAATTTTTTTAATAATTTCAATTAAAAATAAAGGCGCCTGGCCCGGACCGGCCCGTGTCCGAGGTAACTGCACAGTCGACCCGAGGGCCTAGGGCTTCAGTGCAGGGCTCTAATGAGTATAAGGGGCAGGGTTTCCCCCAGCGCTTTACAAGCCTGGCCGCCAGGCTTTGCTTGGTCAACCGCCAGGCTAAGCGGGGTCCTAACCCCCCTCCCCGGCCCTACCTTCTTCGCTGACACAGACAACACATGGCTGCACGGTGGCACAGCTGTTAGCACTGTTGCCTCGCAGCACGAAGGTTGCAGGTTCGAAAATCGGCTGCGGCCTTTCTGCGTGGAGTTGCATGTTCTCCCCATGCATGCGTGGGTTTCCTCCGGCTACTCCGGTTTCCCCCACAGATCACAACATGCCCTATTGGTTATAAATTGTAAGTCGCTTTGGATAAAAGCGTCTGCCAAATAAATAAACATAAACACAAGAAGAGCTCTCTAATGACCTTCTAACTTTCTGTTCTGGTCCTGCTGGACCTGACTGGGATGAGCTGCAAAAACCACTGAAGCTCACTACCTACTATCCATTATCTACCTTCAATAATTCATGGTGATCAATAGTTTCTGATCAGTGTTCCTGCTTCTGAGTAGTAAAGACTGTTTTAAGTCTGTTCTGATTGCTTGTCCATATTATATATGAGAACAGTCCTTTGTCCTTTATCTTATTTTTGATCTTGTATGTTTTTATCTTACCTGTATTTCTTTGATCTAGCTGTTGCTGCTGCCTCTTGGCCAGACTGTCGTTGTAACTGAGAATGAGTTTGACGCATCTTGTTAAATAAATAATAATAAATAAATTCATCCTTTTCTTTCTCAGTAGCTTCTTTTCAAGCTAGTGTTTGTCTAAATTCAGTATTTTTGGGCTCATGTGTTTAACTTTTCATTTGTTTTCCTCATTCTTTTTCTGTCTGAGTCCTTTCTCCCATTCTTAATCTGATTTTCTATTATTTTGTTGTTATTTATATTGTTTTTGTGAAACAGCTCTTGATGTTTATCTTGAGAGGAGTAGCTGCTTCTCGAATTATTGATTCCCTATATTATTATCATTTAAATGTGTTTATTTCTTAATTCTGATTTTGCTTATCATTTATGTTTCCTTGCACCAAGTACCACAGCAATTTCCTAATGTTGTGATTCTCACACATACGGCCATAAAACCTTCTGATTCTGAGAGGCACTAGAAAAAGATCACTCTTCCTTTTTCATCAGACATCCTTTCATTTTTACAAGCTGCAGCTTTACTGTCAGGAAGTGTTGAAGACAATCCCAGGTGAGAGTTGGGAAGTCTGTCGATATCTTAATCAGCTTGCCTGGGCAGATAGTAATAAATATGGAGCCATCTATAGTCTAGGTCAGGGGTCTCCAACTGTTTATTTCCTGTAAGCTACTTTTGAACTACAGTAAAGCTACTGCCCTACTCTTTATTCACTGTGATACTTTTCATGTGGCTTTACATATAGTTACTATGTACACAGCAACATGTTCCCAAAAGTTCACCAAAAACATAGAACTTAATGGCAATCCCACTTGAAGAACCATTAAGTTGCTTTCTCTGTTTTTTAATACATCATCATTATAAAAAAGCAAAAGGAAAATGGTGACATTCCTGTTTTTAAACTCTGAATAAACAACACATGTTTGGTTTTTAACCAAACAGATACTTTCAGATAATGAAGCATAAATCTATGTTGTGTGAATGATTAGACATTTTTTTGACTGGATCAGTAGCTTTTGACCACACAGGAACATCTAACCTGTTCCTGTTCAGTTGCTGGCCTTGTGCCAGGCCCAGAGCCTAAACCATGCCCATCTACTCCCAGACCGCGAGTCCCAGGAAAAGAGTTTAATGCAAGTCAGTGGGGGTATATTCTAATCCCACTTGACTTGGAATTCTCACATGATGTCTCTGAATTTTAAAAACACATTTTGATGCCAAGAAAACACTTATTTTCAAACAGCAACAAAAGTTATTGTAGCAGCAATAGTTTTTCATGTGGGATGGCCATCCACCATCCAACTGTCATGTACTAGCCCCCTCCTGTTCTCCCTCCAGGTGTCCCCTCAGGTTCTATGTTCCTGTGGTCCCCAGCCCCCTCCAGGTTCCCCTCATGTTCTCCTAGTCTCTTAACGGCAGTTCTCTATAGGTTCTTTAGTCTCCTTTAGTGTGTGTGTTCCCTTCCCCATCTAGATCATTCGTTTATTTTAGATTTCCCTGTGTCTTTGTTCTACAGTGTTTAAGTTTAGTTGGGGGTTATTTTTGTACCCTTGGTTTACAGGATTTAGATATAGTTTTCTCCCCTGCTTATTTCTGCTTCTTCCCTCAGGCTGGTGCCTATCTCCAGCGGTCAATGGGCAATCACGCACACACACACACCTAAGGACAATTTAGACAGACCAATTAACCTAACAGTCATGTTTTTGGACTGTGGGTGGAAGCCGTAGTACCCGGAGGGTACACAGGGAGAACATGCAAACTCCATGCAGAAAGATCCCAGACCGGGAATCGAACCCAGGACCTTCTTGCTGCAAGGCAACAGCGCTAACCACTCCGCCACTGCGCAGCCCACAAACAGCAACAAAATAACCAAAATAATAATAGGCACCAGAGTGGAGGTTGTGTCATACTTAGTATCTATTGAAATAGAGGCAAAAAATGAGAAAAGAAAACCTGTCAACATAACGAATACTTAACTAACTAAACTAAATACATTTTGACTGTTGGGTGAATCTCCAAGCAGCCCGGCGGGGACTAGTAGCAACCTCTCGCGCCCTCCTGATACAGCCCACCCGCAGGGGTGAGGCGCCCCACTTACTGAGAAACTCTGCCTTGAGCCAATGGCGATTCAGGGTTATTTAATCTCTTTTTTCAGGTAAAGCTGTTTATTGTTAAAACAAACTGAAATTAAATGTTGCCACATTTGCTAAATAAAATGACCTTTCTATTCAACTAGAAACCCACGTTACCGTACGCGCCATGACCAATAACTATGAAGGTAGACATAAAAGGATACAGTCAGTTTATAGAGACGGAGGCTGAAAGTAAACATGCCTATTTCTTTCAGACCCACCCTTAACCTCCACAGTTACTGGCTATAAGGAATTCATTCTTTCCTGCTTTTTGTCACAAACACACACTACTTACTACCCACCTGCACATACACATCTTGAGTAGTAATACACACACCTGCACACAGAGATCCACAAAGGCCATTGGGCCTCCCTACCTGCTCCCAACTTCAGGGATGATTGATTGAGCCTTCACTGCAACACACAGGCTGTTTAGGCTTACTGATTGCCCTGCGTGTGTGTGTGTGTGTGTGTGTGTGTGTGTGTGTGTGTGTGTGTGTGTGTGTGTGTGTGTGTGTGTGTGTGTGTGTGTGTGTGTGTGTGTGTGTGTGTGTGTGTGTGTGTGTGTGTGTGTGTGTGTGTGTGTGTGTGTGTGTGTGTGTGTGTGTGTGTGTGTGTGTGAAAACACATTTGTCCTTCTGTGAAACTCAGAGCACTTTGAGGTTAAAAGTTTCAGTGTCACTGTTGAACGATGACTTTCCCCTCACTGAGAGCAGACGTCACTTGATGGAAAGAGGATGGAGAAGAAAGAAAAACAAGGAGAAAAGAAAATACTTTTGTATTTTGCCTCACTTGTCTATAATGGTAGCTGTTTTTAAGAAATGAAATAATAATAAAATAAGAATCGAAAGTGTAATTTATTTAACAATAATGTATATTTTTTTCTCGTGCTGATTTTCTCATTTGTTGACATTTGCATTTTGACACCAGATTTAGTGCTCATCACAAATGAGTATGTCCCACCAGATTTGTTAAAAAATGTAGCTTTCCTTTACAAGTACAACTTTTTTGTAATTTGTAACTTTTGTAGGCTGCGCAGTGGTTAGCGCTGTTACCTTGTAGCTAGAAGGTCCTGGGTTCGCTTCCTGGCCTGGGATCTTTCCGCATGGAGTTTGCATGTTCTCCCTGTGCATGCGTGGGTTCTCTCCGGGTCCTCCGGCTTCCCCCCACAGTCCAAAAACACGAC